GTTTTTTGCACAACATCAAAATAATACATCTGTGGAAAAGATTTTCCTTCGGCGATAGGAATTGCCTGCAAACCTAACTCTAAGGCATAATTAACATGCTCATGCATTAAAAAACGTAATAATATATCGTTTAACTTAATAACATTGCCAGCCAATTCTGCTTCACTTGACAGTAATCGACAGCGTTTAAATGAACCCTTGGCTTCTTGCAACATATTTATAGCTAATTCTTCAGAAAGGAACGTTTCGCCACCATAATCTTCAATCTGTGCTATGTTTATATTTGCGCGCGTGCCAATTAATGCCTGCATATCTCTTCTTAATTCTTGGAAGCGTTCTGTTTGTTTCTTTTGATGCTTTTTGCTTAAATAAAATTTCTCCAATTCAGTGGAACATTTAGCTGTAAGACATTTAGATTCAATTTCAGCATAGCCGGCAAGATGCTTTGTAAAAATCTGTTGCGTCAATTTATTAAGTAGATCATCGTCTATGGGAGACATATAAACCTGTAAGTCTGCCGATAATTTTAATGTGCTAAAATACATATCATAATTAAAATATTGCAATAAAAGTAAATAATAAATAGTAATATATGAATGTACCGCGAATAAAGTTCATACAAAGTACGTAAATACTTCTCCTCATCTTTTTTATCGTCCAACTTAGTAATGGAGTACTGATGTAATTTTAATTGATATATATTAAGTATGAATTTGGACATGACCTGTGTTGGATTTGCAAACACTTTTTTGATGATCTCGTAATGATGTTTGCACATAGGAACTATACCAATAAATATATCTTTACCTCCATATGGTGTCTACAAAAGTAAAAATTGTTATATATATATATATTTCTATATAAATAATTATAGATAGCAAAATTATTCTTAATAATATAATATAAGAATTATTTTTAATATAACATATGTTTAATATTCACCGCTTACCATTTGACTTTGTTCGATGTATGCATCGATACACTGTGTATATCCTTTAAATTGTGATAATATTTGTGCTAATTTTTTCATTTTTTCAATGTCTTCACTTTTCTGTGCTGAAGCAAATTCTTCGATCAACCTTCGCTCAACTTCATCATATTTCTTTTCTATTTTACGTTTTGAGTCCAAAAATTTTTCTGTTGGCAAATCTTGTGATATTGCATATAACTTTTGTATAACATCAGCTGCTTCATACAAGCGATTCGGATCATTGAATATGTCATTAACTATAGGTCCTGCGACTAAAAACTCAGACATATAGTTTAATAACTTTTGCGCTTCAACAGTACGACTACGTGGCGTATTTACATTTTCTAATTGCTCACCAAGGTGAATAATTTTTCCAGCTACTGAATTTATCTTTTCATCTAATTGTCCAAACCAGTCAATTGCAGTCTGATGTCGTTCTTGTAGTTTACTTATCTGTTTTGTGTGCGCTAATTGCTCCTGCTTCAATGAATCTTCCAAGCGTTCACACTTCGTTTGTTGTTTGTCTTGCAGTATTTTCAAGTCCTTAATAGTTTGTATGAAAGTATCACGCAAAGCATCTGGATTAAATTCATCTCCTCCTCCAGTGCCACTGTTTACTTCATTGTTGGTACGCCAAGTGAGCCGCTCAATAAATTCGGTTACTTCAAAAGGTTCCTTAAATTTTCAAAACGATTTGAATTAAATTTTTATTTAATTTTTAAATAAATTATCAACCTGTTCAAATTCTTCCATGTACTGAGATAACATTTTCTTTTAAATTTTATTCTTACACTTAAAAGAAAGGCGTAAACACAAAATTGACTTCTTGCATTGTAACAGCTGATCCTTACTTCTGACGTCATAACATTTGACAATTCAATTTCGCAGTTAATACCATGTAGGAAATGTTGTAATTACGTCTATTATAATTGCAATAACAATAAGTCTACCTGTATAGTTGTTATAAATATTTTTTTATATTAATTTAATATGTTATAAATACTTTGTATATTCATTTAATATTTAACAGTTTTAATTTTAGTTTTATCTACTGTCTAGTGTTTCCTTCAGTTTAAAAATTACAAAAGTTTTTTTTATATAGTAGGTGGATTGATTGAGGAATTTTATGACTGAACTATATTCAATTTTTGCCATATTATATAAAATTAACAAAGTGAACTATTGGAATTATTTGCAAAAAACTAACCAAACATCTGATAAAGTCAAAACTTTTACAGCTGTCTTTTAAAAGTTGCCAGATATACAAAATATAATTGATTTTGTTCTGGCGTTGCCACCTGTTGTGAAGTCAAGTAATTATCAATCCACCTAGTATTATCTGAACTGTTTGCAGGTCATATCATAAAACGTTGAATTATTATATATTATTTTCGTGTCAAGTATCACCATTTTTATAGTCAGAAATGCGATTGTTATTTCAAATTGCAACTAAATAAATAAAAATTTAACTCAAAATACCATTTTTTAATTTGCCTAAACCTCAATTTAGTTTATAATAAAATTTTGGATCTATCATTTATTCTATTTATTTTAAGTGTTTTAAAATTCCTGTGCCCCCATCAATTTCTAATCGCTTTAAATTAAAATATTTGAAATAGATTAGTTGTAATATAATGCATGGCAAGGTAACTGATTCATCGGACTAAAATGTATAATACATTGCACCTTTTAGTATCTTTCAAATATACATAAGTTATATGTATTTTATATTTTATGGATATATTTTGTGAAAATATGTTTGTCTAGTGAATTGTGGATAGTACACAATTCACTATACTATACTAAGTGTATGCATAAGTTTTTTCTGGTTTAACTAAGAGATGGTACCAGAAAAAACTACGCCGCGTATTAACTTAATACATACGTGACATTGAGCTGCAAACACACACAAATTAAGTCTACATTTTTGTGGCTTGCAATGGTAGACACTCTCCATCGATTAAGACATGCGAAACATGATTTCGCCAATTTAAAACTGGTGATTTCCATGTGAAGGACAGTGATCGCTAGGTAGGTCACAAAAGTGCGAAAACGAATTGAATTCAACTCAACAGCAATTTACAAAAGGTAAAACTGTGTCGCAAGAAACGTCCAGCACACGTTTACTACATTGAAAAAATAGAAAAACAGAATCTGGTAATTTACCTATATTATATATTTACATATCATTAGCTAAAAAAGGATACCACATTGGTTTTAAGTATCGGTCTGCATATGTATGTAATAAAAGGATCAATAATGAAATATTATATTAGATTAATACACATCTTATGCATCGGCAATATGTTTATTTTATTTATTTTTTGTTAAAAATATGTATTTCAATAAAAAGTTACAAGAATATTTTTATTTTCCTTTTTGTTTTTACAATGCATGCCACTTTTCACAATATTTCTCAAGTCTGCTTACATATTTATATAAATTTACCTTCTTTGAGTTTACTCAGTACTTATAATTACAATTTAATAATTAAAAATATACAATTGAATAGTTAATAAAAATATTTATATATATAACAACATATTAAGCAAAACATATTAAAATTAACCACAAACAATTTTCATAAGCAATTTTGATAAATCTAATAAATTTTATTAAAAAAAAAACATTTAAATTTCTTGTAATGATGTTATTCACTATAAAATATAAATTTGGAAATTGACATAACATTAAGTTGTAATTAAATTAAATATCTTTTTATTGATTTGCTATTTGAGGTCTTTTTTTAAAAGAACTCGATTAATTTAACCTTTAAAAAAAGCTTCAACAATTGTAAATTATTTAATCCGATTTCCACAATATATGCTGACAGCATTTCTTTACTGTTTATCTCTTATGCTGCAGTTGTGGGTTCTGTTCTTGTTGTTGTTGCTGTTGCTGTTGCTGTAAATGTAAATGTGGGTGGGGTTGTGTGAATATATCAAGATTATGCCCTGCTATTGCGGCCGGATTGATTGCAAGTACAATAGGCAGATTGGCAGTGTTTGTAGCCGTAGAATCTACTGTTGCCAAGCGTGTATTTTCTATGGTGTTGTTAGCGTTTGCACCAATTATACTTATGCTATTGCTAGCTTCAGGTAATGGGACTTCAATTAATTGTTGTAAATTTCGTAGCTCTGTTGAACGTAGACTAGCGGAAAGACTTTCACTAGAAGCAAGTGATGTTGAAAGTGGAGAATTGCGATCCATTGAAGAAGCTACATCTAATTAATTTAAATTTAATTAATATATGTTATCAAAACAAATAATATTTTAAAACTATTATATACAATATATGGAACGTACCTGTCTTATCTGTATCCGGTGAGCATGTGTTAAGTGCCACAGGAGCTTGTGGTTTTATTTGCGACATCATTATCTTCTCCTCCATTTGCATGACAATAAACTTTTGTACTTCATATTTTTTATTTAATGCCTAAAATTGATTTTTTCAAAATTGAAAAATTCTTACTTTTTTGCTTCTTAATTTTATACCTTAAATTTCTCTTCATATTCATCTTTTACAGTTTTCAGCAACCGTTTTTGTTCTGTTATAACCTTCTCATTGTTAGTTAGTTGTGTCTGTAGATCTCCGATTTTGTGTTTAGCGCTTTCGAGCTGAGATGACTTTTCTTCCAAATTATGCTTTACACCTAAAAGAATAATTTTTTTTATTTATATACACCTATAAATGGAAACCTATTTACTTTTAAGCTCTATATTGTAGCTATCTTGCAATACATGCTGTTCTTCATCCCGTGCTCTGAAATTGTCCAATTCAAGTAATCTATCACGACACTTCACTTGAACTTCTCCCATGATAATGAACTCTGCTTCCAGATGTGCTAAATCATGCTTATATTGCTGCCCAATATCAGCCTGCACCTGCAAATGTTGCAATTCAGTATTCATATTAAAGATTTGACCACGCAGTGACTCCAATTCATAGTTCGTTTCTCTACAACTATTCATTTCTTCATTAACCCTTGTATGCAAACTTTCATTATCTTGTCGCAAAGTCTTATTTTGTTCCAGTTCATTCAGATAGTTTGATTTAAGTGCTGTTAACTCTTCTATATGTCGCTTTTCTTTTTCAAACGCACTTTTTCTAGTTTTTTCCATTTGATGTATAAGTTCCGCGTTCTTTGTTTCAAATTTTTTTAACTGCTCTCTCAAACGATCACGTTCCGATTCTAGACTACGTTTATCTCGACTACGGCCCATTAATCGACGAATACGTTCATCAAGTACGTCACATCGATTCCGTTCATGTTGCAACAATAGGTATAATAATTGAAATTGTTCCTATATATCAAAAATAATAAATTTTCAGTAGTATAAATAAGAGAATAAAAATAGAAAAAAAAAAGAGTATAATAAAATCTCCCATTATACATTTCATTATTTACCTGATCTTGTCGGCAAACAGAATCTAAATTTCCCTGAGCTCTTATAACATTTACGATATATTGATCTAACATCTCTCGTGGATTTATCAGACTCCTTTCATATTCTTTACGTTTCTTTTCGTTTTCTAACAACATCTCATACAAAATGTCCTCATATTCACATGGCATTATTTTAATAGTTTGGGAAGCGGCATTAGCGTAAGAAGTTGTTACAGCTTTTTTGGTAGCATTTGCAATAGCCAACATTTTAGCCTCGTCCTCATCTATTTCTTTCATTGTGACTATGTTTAGTGATGAACAAGATTTCGTGCGTCTGACTTTCAAATCAATTATTTCAGTCTCATTCGATAAAATTTTGGTTGCACCTCCTTTACTGTAACTATAATCGTTACAACAATAGCTTGCCATACGATTACGCCGTTTGATACTTTTAGCTAATGATCGGCTGTTAGGTATCTGCAATCCACCAGCAGAACATAATGATCCTTCAGTTTCGTTGCAGTCGTCACAAACTTTAGTTGTATCTTCTATAGCTGTAGGTGTGGGTATAGGCGTTGGTGTCATAATTGGAGTATAATTTTGTAAATGAGATGATAAATCAGAATCCATATCAGGAGTATCACATTTGGCTAAATGAGATAAGTAGAGTTTGGGTAAATTAACTTTCGAGATAAATTATTAAAAACTTACAGCTGTCATCAAATGGCGAACGAAAACCTTGCCTCGCTTGTTCAATTGTTTGAAAAGGACTCTGTGAAAATGTACGATCTTGTAATATTTGCTGTAATCTACGATCGTGCCTTGTAACGTGAGTCACTTTGCGAAAAGTTGTGCTAGTTAATTCTTGATCAATTATTGTTGAGCAATTAGTTTGATCATCCGAAAAATTAAAATGATTATTTTCCTTGCGCATGGGAGATGACGGTTGACTCGTAGGAAAGATGGCACGAATAGCAACTGGATTAACACTAGCTGATGTGGCGGATAAGGCATTGTTTTTGAGTTCTTTAATATCTTTGAGAGGAGTAGTTTCTGGAGTGGCCTCCACAGCTGCTTCTGGAGGTGAAGAACCAGTTACCCCTATTATGTTGTTTAAATTGGAAGGAGTAGGTATGTTAGTTCTAATGCAAGACGGTGTTGGAGTTAATGGTACAGATCCAGGCAAATTTATTTCGTTGTATGGACTCCATATATTACCACCTACCATACTATGTTCACCAAAATCAAATCGAGAAGCATAATTTTTACGATATTGTGTACCCTTTAATTGATTAAACTCAGACATAGATCTGCTACTGACACTGCTTATACTTGTAGACGAGTGCATACCACTGGGTGTATCAAGTAAACTAGTTGATGATAGCTGATACATGTGCTCAGTTTTTGTATCCTAAAATATTAAGTATGTAGAATTCTATTAAATCAAATGTTAATAAATATTACCTGGTATAAATTAGGCAACGAAAGTTTTGCACAATCTGAAACTACATCGTGTGGTTCCATCTCTTTCCAACGTGAATGATTTTTCTCACTTTCTATTGTTGCTGTAACTAACATTGGATGGACACGAACGGTTTCAAGTAGTGGCTTAATTGTGTGATGAAAAATTGCTCCTCTTTCCTTTTTGATGAACTCATTCAAATACGCTAAAAAATTACAAGGATACATGCCATAGAGACGATGAAATAACATTTGTAAACCAAGCTGTAAATGCACAAATTTATAGTCGACCGGTCGCATTAAATTTTGCCAGTTCCAAGACGCTAAACGGCCAAAAACGTCAAAGAGATCTTTAAGAAAACTAGGTACTAAGCTCGGTATGATAGGCAACAAAGTAATTATGCATAATAGGGCACTCATTAATGGAACAATATCCCGTTCAATTTCTCTTTCACTCTACACAATTTTAAAACAATACATAATACAATACAATTTATTACATAATTTTAAATGTTAATTTTAAATGTTACCGATATCAGTTTAATAACATCCTTAATCAAACGATGCTTTTCGACCTTATACAACCAAGTAGGGTGTTTTCGCACCACAAACGAGAATAAATTTAATGCTTGAACTCGATGTTGTTGTTTATTCAGCCATTCAGACAAATTGTCGAAGATATAAGTGTCATGAGGAGGTTGAACTTTAACTAGTACTTCTCTAATCCGTTGCGAGCCTGTTTTTAGAAAATAGTCCATCATTAGATTAACAACCCATTGCTCTTTATCTGTATGTTAAAAAATATAAAAATAATCTTTAATTTTTAGGAATCTCATATGAGAGGAGTATACATATAAAAACAAAACTACTTACTTTGATTAAAAAGATCCACTAATTTCCTTTTGGCCTCTTCACATTCATGAGTTTGATTTGATTCTAAATCGGTGAAGATTTTTTCGAAGTCCATGCTGCAGTTTTGCTCAATATTGATATTATGTACTATTTAACTTTTGGTTTTTATTATTAGTGCTTTGCTACTGCTCTTTCGGCAAGTGGAGTTCAAATCAACTCTATAAATTGCTTCGTTTCGTGCTGTTGCCAGGTTCTAAGTAAAGAACAAAATGTAAATAGTACCGTACTAAAATTACTTTGGTTTTTCGCTTAAAAAACATTACCCCTTCTTCTTTCATTTTTTTTGTAACCTTTGGTTATATTAAATTTATTGCAAAGGAGTTTTTAAAACATATTAAAAGAGTTATTCCCGATTAGTCGTGTACATCATTGCCTTCTTCTTGCAAAAGAATTAGCGAAAATTTTAACAAGTGACAGTCTCTTTTGGACTATGTTATCGTCGTTTTTGTTTTGTTCGTCGTCGAGATGGAGATGCCATATTAATATTATTGTCATATGTATTGTAAACAATGATGCAATGAAGCAAGCAATCAGCTAGGACAAAACAGTGTCATGCACACACCAGACATACTCAAGCTAGCTGCGTCCAATAGAACTGCTGTATAACAGAAAACTGTAATGTGGTAATACATGAAGTACAAATTTTGAGAGCTAAATTGCCATAACCACCGACTTTTAATAATTAAACTTCCGATGGAAAAAGTTATAAACGCAACAGTATTATAACACACAAAATAAAATATCTCTAATTTTTAAATGTGTGAATTATAAATTGCACATTATTTATTTTTTTCTATACGTCACTTACATATGTTGCTCTCGAAAACCTCTCTAAAGTAATCTTATAGTCAAAAATCCAACTATACAATCAAGGCAACTTTGTATTAGAAATCGTCATGTAAAATAAATTGTACATTACTGTACAAAACAGTCATAAAGTCAAATCTGCTATATGGTTGATTGTCATATCGGAAAGCAATTAAAAAACTATCAAATTTTCAAACGTATCAAAATATAGCATTTAAAAGAATGGTCAACGCTCAGCGGGATATGAGAAATACAAAGTTTCACAAAGTTTTGAAGGCTCTAATTGCTAAAAAATTTGTAAGAAACAAAGATAGGTACTTTAAAATAACACTAGACTAAACCCAGCAACCTTAAAAAGATATGCCTACTAAGACATTTCCTACGATAACAAATGAATTAATTAGTTCACTGACATAAAAGTGTTGATTGACAAAAACTCAATCCAGATATCTAAAAAAAAAAGAAAGTTCAACAGAATATTGTATTGTTTTTTCTTCACAAAAAAAACGGTAAATGGATATTCTTACTATTTAATAGCTTCTATTTTATAGATTTTTAAAAAATAATTTCTCTTTATGTTCACTTTACCCTAAAATTCTGAAAATATATATATTTTATAAATAAAAATTAACCACAAATAATAACATGCATGTAAAATATTATTACAGTTTTTTTTTTGGGGAAATATTTTCCACAATTGGCTTTAACAACAAATTATTCTTGCTATATAATCTGTTGTAATATATAAAAAAATTAGAAACAAAAATACGTAACAAATATCACGTAATAAAGTTATATAATATGGCGCTTATAATGACCTCAAATGACTCATTTTAAGTCAGTGATTTGAAAGTGTTTACATTGGTGGTTATTCATTTGTTTTCATTTCAAACAGCTGATTTGTCAATGTATATTTTATATGAAGAGACGTAATTTATTTTGTTTACATTCAAAATAAAAAATAGATTATTACAGACCAACTGCGTTAGTTAGGAAAAACAAATTTTTCTTTTCAATAAATTTTCGCGACCCATTACTGCAAACAATCCAAAATCAAATGCAACAATCAAATATTTGTTTACATTTTTTGTGTCAATATGTCAAAAACAACTTTTTCAAATTGTCAAAATGCCATGAAATATTTTTGTAGGGTGTGTTCAATGCATTCATTTGCATTTGGAATGTATTTGGAACTTATGTGTACAAAAATAGTCAATTGAGTATATGAGACTTTGTATGTAGAAATCAGTCATTTGCTTCTCATTTATGATTATTGAATCAAGTCAGTCATTTGGAGCTGTGTAAACGTACTACTACTGAACATAATATGTTAGGTGTAATGTAATCTCTAAGTTAAATGTTAACTTTGGGTCTACGTTGCGGTATATACCCCTTACATTTACGACAATATGGCAAACCTGGTAGAGAACACATATGATCGTACCTGAACATATGTTATTGTTTTGGTAATTTGAGAAGAAATTTGAGTGAGACTGTAAATAAGAAAATGTTTAAAAATATTATTAACAATCGCATTATACGCAATCTTACAACACAACCTGAACTCTCAAAATTAACTAAAAGGTTTGTAAAATTATTGCACATTATGGTGAACTGCAAACTGAGGCTTAACATAAAATTTGTTTAATTTATATAAACAACAAAAAGAAAATGGAAAAGTGTCGTTGGCTTAGAAGTACACGCACAAATTTCAACGGAATCGAAATTATTCTCTGGTAGCCAAACAGCATTTGGTGCACCATTGAACTCTGCGGTTTCATATTTTGATGCTTCTATTCCCGGCACACTACCTGTAAGTAATTACTTGCTCTTTAAAACACTGTCAAAAATGTTGATTCCCAGGTGTTAAATCGGAAATGTGTTGAATACGGTGTTAAGACGGCATTGGCACTGAAGTGTTGTTTAAATGAAATTTCCATGTTCGATCGGAAACATTACTTTTATGCTGACTTACCGGTAACAATATATACGAATTGTTAGTATAGTAAATATACTTCTACATTAATACTTTTGCTATACATTCAGGCCGGATATCAAATTACTCAACAGAGATCTGCTTTAGCTAATAATGGAAAAATAACCTTTCCTGTTTTAGTGCCAGGCAAGAAAGTATATTACAAAACTGCGAGGTTATTACAACTGCAGTTGGAACAAGATAGTGGAAAATCATTGCATGATGATATACTAAAGAGGTACATAATACAAAATTTTACTCAAAACTCTTATAAAGTTTTTAAAAATTAATAGAAGCCTTATTGATCTTAATCGTGCCGGACTTCCATTAATAGAATTTGTTTTTGCACCGGACCTAGAAACTGGAGAAGAAGCTGCTTCATTAGTCAAGGAATTAATACTTATATTAAGAAAATTAAAAACTTGTAGTTGCAAAATGGAAGGTAATATATGTAGATGTACGTAAGCTTAGGTATTAATATGTATATAATATAGAGGGAGCACTACGTGTTGATGCAAACATATCTATACATCAAGAAGGAGATCCATATGGTATGCGTACAGAAGTAAAAAATATTGGCTCAGTACGCAACATTGCGCATGCAATAACATATGAAATAAATCGTCAGTTAGCACTCGTCACGCAGGGAAATTCCGTCACAAATGAAACTCGAGCGTGGGATGCGGAAAACAAACGAACAATAAGCATGCGTGATAAGGAAGTTTTGCAAGATTATCGTTTTATGCCAGAGCCTAATTTACCACCTTTACGCATATCTATGGCAGAAACTAGTAATGATGGACTAGTTTCTGTTCATCAAATAACTAATGAATTACCAGAACTACCGGAGGAAACTAGAACAAAATTAAAGGATACCTACAAGCTTAATAATGAAACGGCTATAATATTAGTTGTGAGTTTAAGATATATTGCAAATCAAATGAATGGTAACATTTGTTTTATTGATATTTTTAGAATGAGCCTGTGCTTTTGGATTATTTTTTTAGTATTATAAACAGTCTTCCTGCCATATCAAACAAGACAATTACTAACTTTTTAATAAATGACTTACTGGCGTTCTGTAATAAAGCTAACATCGATTTGAACCAATGGTAAATTCCTTTATATGAAATATACTGCTATAACAGAATTTTGAATATTGATATAAATACAATATATCTTTATAGTATTATTTTTCCTCATTCAAGCCACATTTGAAATCCATATTATTTTAAAAAGATTACGAAATTTAAATATAAATAAGTAGAGAAGTAATCAATTTTATATAGTATACAATGAGGTATAAGATTATTACAAATAATTATATGTTTACAATCCACCTCAAGTATAATTAATTCATTTTAATTTTTAACGAACTGAATGTGTGAATGTCCTTTTAATTAATTGTTAAATCCAAAATGAATGCGGTTCAAATGAATTCATAATATATTATTGCATAATAGTACTTTAGCTTATAAATTCATCAATTATTTATTGTAAAATTAACTGTTGAATATATTTCTAGCACTATAGATTGATGCATATCAAATTCGTGGTGATTCCAATTTCTTGATCACGCTGATTTTAGAACGGAATTTAGTAAAATCAAATATTCAGAGCTTTTTTTTTTCTTTATACTATATGCCGGTCACTATGTAACTTACTGTTCGAAATATCGGCACACGAAATATATAATTACATGTTGCGAAATTTTTATATTGGTCGCAATTACAAGAACAACATACGCTGTTTAATATTTACTGGTATTTGCAATTTTTTCAATTGTAATTTTTATTAAATAAGCAATAAGCAACTAGTAATAAGTCTACTTATTGTTGATAGCTTAATTGTAAACATTTCAGACTAATGCCAGATATTACAAAAACTTGTTTCTATTGACAAAGGTAGTGAAAAATATTGCTCAAAATAGCTGCGTTTATTGAAATCCCTTGTCACATAGGCGTGCCCAGGAAGTTGGAATAACACCACAAATTCGATATTAAAATAAAAAAAATTATATATTGTTTTTAGTAATATCACAGAAAATCATTTAAAAGATATATTTAAATATCTACATGCTGAAAAAATAAACTTACTAGCAGCTAAAAGTCTTGTAGAGATAGTACATAACAATCCAGATACAGATATAGAAACGGTGAGTGTACTAAAGGTGCTTTTTAATATTGTTTATTAAAACGTCTGATTTTATTGTAGTTGATAATTAAACACGATTTGGAACAAATTTCTGATCCCGTTGCCATTGAGGAATTATGCAAAAAGGTTATTGAGAAGCTACCTAAAGCTGTTCAACAATATCAAAAGGGCAAATCAAAAGTCTTGTACGCGCTTGTGGGTGCAGTAGCTGAGCTATCCAACAATAAGGCGAATATGAAATCTGTTGTTACTTGTTTGGAAAAACTTCTTAAAGTTAAATAAAAAACTTTTATTATTAAAATATTTTGAAACGTGTTTGCTTTATTAAAAAGTCTGTTTTTATATATGTATAAACTTGAAAATTTTTGTCATTGTGATGTTTAGAATATGAATTGTAAGATTTTTGGTTCTGGTTTCTCTTTTTAGAAGAGGAGAAGCAGAACTCCAATTATTTTATATAGTTCTTTTTGATTCATGTATGTTTAAAAAATATTAATTTTTTTTTTTTACATTTTAAGGTAAACACACTATATTCTATTGTCTAGGCTAGCAGACAATGAAAAGCTAGAATCATAAAATAATGAATATGAAACATGCTTCATAAATTTCAGATCCAACAAAATATATATATATTAATATATATATAAAGTTAACCAAAAAAGATCTAAAAAAGAATATAAAATAAGCCAAAAATTTATTATGTACTTATATTTGTGGATCCAAGTGTGATAACTACGTGATTGTATTCATTCTAAATGGTAGTGTTAAAATATCAAATTATTATATGTAATTGTAATTAACACATAATTTAAATATATATTATATATTTTACATATATAAATATATTCGATAAATGCGTAGTATATAAAATGCGTAAAGTTTTCAATGGCAGTTTTAATTGTTAATAATTTTTTTATAGTTTTATCTTCAGTCATGTTCATAATCGCGACATGAAGTTGGCGGTAAGCTCATTGAAAGTGCAGAGTCCAAACTATAAAGATATATCATTCAAATACGATAAAATTAAAGTATTTTTATTTAATAAATTAATATATTACCGTCTTGTTTCATTTTCTAATACGCATGGGTCCAAAGGATGCTGTGAGACTAGTCTCAAAGAGTCACCCAAAGTGTTACGCAAATGTTGCATTTCTCTATTTGCCTTAGTGTTTCTAAGTATATATTGCTGGCGACGCTTGGCTTCTTGTGCCAATTGTTCTCGTAACATGGATATCTTATTTAAAAGAGTTTTTAAATATTAATTGTAACTTATAGATATTGTATTAATACCTGATTTTCTAAACGCAAAACTTGTTGTTGGTGTGCTTGCTCACGTGCATCGAGCAGTTTTTCTGCATGTAAGTGTGCGCTACGGTATCTCTCCGAATCTAAGGTATCGATACATTTTGAACTATCATGGATACGTGTCTTACAGCGTGTCAGTTCAGATTCTTTTTCAGCAAGTAGAGTTTCAAGACGTCGCACTTTAAGTCTTAAATCACGCGATTCTTGCTCAATAGTCGCATGATCTAAACCGCAACTATATTTTGTCTTATATTGATTTGATGATTCTAAACGGTTTGAATCATAGTCTCCAGCGTCATATAGTGATTCTGCTTTTTCAGATTTGTCATATGCGTTTCCACTGGAAAATTTGCTTTTACGATCCGATTCTAAATACTTTACTTTATCTTGCAAGGCTTGTAATTTATTACGGAGTTCCGATTTTTCACGTTGTGATGACTTAAGTTGACGGCTTAGTTCTTCTTCTTCATTTTTATCAGCTCCATTTGCACCTTTTTCATTCGATTCTTGATTCCATTTTGCTATTCGAAGCTGAGATTCTAGGGCAGATCTTTGCACTTCCAAGTCGTTCACTTGTTCCTGCAAGCGTTGAGAGCTATCCAATTGTGCTTGCTGACTGCGGCGTAATTCATTAACAGAAGCTTGGGAATTATCTAAACGCTCCACTAAAATTCGTTTTTCATTTTCAGCTGCCTGTATGGTTTTTTGTAAAAGTTTAAGCTTGTCTTCGTTCGCCTGGCTGCAGTGTCCTTGTTCCGATAATTCTTTGTTTAATGTTTTTATATCTCCGCGTAATTCTGTTTCAGTAACTGCGGCTTTTTGTAAGCGTTCTTTCATTTGATCTACAGTAACTTTAAGCGATGTACAACGATCCTCCAATTGTGCCAAAGCACGAGTCTGGGTATCAAGGCGTTCTTGTGCTTGTCGCAAATTGCTGTCTTTTTCCTGAAGAGCCATCTGCAAGCGTGTTAAATCTCCTTCCAAAGCTACGCGTTGCAGATCAAGTTTGCTAGCACGTCCATCGGCCTTTGCCAGTTCTTCTTGTAGGTGTCGTTTCTCATTTTCTAGTTTTGCAGCATGCTGACGACACTTTTCAAGCCGATCCTATGAAAATGTAAAACATTGCACATTAATTATCATAATGTCATTATATATATCATTATCATTATATGGTTTAAAGGAGTAAAAAGAAGATTTTTATGGCAAGTATTTGGATCGAAGTAGAAGCAGTTTGGATCCGACAAATAATGAGAGATCGTTTTTATATTTAATAAAGGAAAGCGGCTATTTTCATTCAAAAGGGTGAAGGAAAGATTATAGATTAGAAGTTTATTTGAAAATATGAATAAAATTTTTATTTTGAAAATTATTTTAAAGATATTTATTTTAAATAGCGGAAGCGATTAGTGCCGCCATCTTTGCAAACGGTATAACACTAATGGCAGCAATAAGCACCACCACGTGGTTTTGGAATGGACTCGATCTCTTCTCAAATTATGACACTGCATCTTAGATAATCGCCTTGAAATTGATTTCTTGTATTTTTAATTTTTAGTTTATAGTTTGTTAAATAATTTTTTAATTAAGAATAATTTAAAATATTCAAATGTAATAAATAATTTAAAAAAAATAATCTTTTTTACCTCGTTTTGTGAGTTTTCCTCAGCAGTAGCGGTCAATTGCATTTCAACTTGTATCAATTTTTCACGTAAATGTTGGCATTCGTCCACCTTTTGTTTATATTTGTCCTCTAAAGCATTTAATGAAGTTACTTTCATATTCCGTTCAGTATCTAAATTGCTCTTTTCCTCTTGTAAATGTCTTATTATTTGCTGCAGTTTTGATACTTTGGCATCACATCGCAATTGTTGTTCGCCTGCATCCTGTAACTGCTTTTTACAGTTGGCTAGCTGCATTTTATAATCATCCTTCTCACGTTCAATTTGAGCTACTTGATGCATTAAATTTCTAACACCCTTACGCACTAGATCGGGGTCTACGTCGATTGGTGCCTCAGCATATTGCGATGTACTCCTCGTATCATAATCGTGGCAACTGGGTCCGCCAACACTGCGACCTGGACTAAAACGTCTTGAGGGACTAACTAAACGATGTGACAAATTTACTGTGCCATCAATTTGTATTCCGGCTATACGACGTAATGTGTGTGCCACAGAGCTGAGCTTATGTTCAGTATCACGTTTGTGTAACTCAGCACAAGCTAGCTGTTCATCAAGTGCACGAATACGTCCTTCAGCTCCACCCAAACGTGTTTTTAACTCTTGTATTTGTTGGGTCGCATCTGCTAAGCATACTTCCAAATTGTGTTTTTGATCTTCCAAACGCTTTTCACGACCACGAGCTTCTTCCATACGCGCACCTAACTCTTGTTCTCGGTTATGGAAACGGTGTTCTTCTTGATTCGCTTGGCATCGTGCACGACCTAATTCCTGTCTAGTTGCGCATAAATTGTGTTCAAGATCTGCGAGCTGCACAAATTTCAATTTAACTTGAAAGAACTTTTAATTTCAAAATAAATATTACCTGTTTTTTGATCTGACCTAACTCCTGTTCAGCGCGTTCTTTAAGTTCAGTTTCCGCAGATAGTTTATTTTGCAAATCCTTGCCGCCCTCGTCCTTTTGTGCAAATTCAATTTTTGTCTTTTGCAATGTCTGTTTTGTTGTGTTCAACTCTTGACTAGTCCTAGACATATTATTCTCGGTCTCTTTTAGCACTGTTGTTAATCGCGTTCGCTCATTTTCAAGGATGTTTTTACTTTCCTCTAAATTGCTTATTTTCTGTAGACTTTCTTCAATCGCTCGAGCCTGTTCTCTCTTCGCACTTTCCACTCGCTTCACATGGTCTCTTAACTCTTTATTGCTATTTGCATACTTGTCGCGCTCAATGTTACTATCGGCAAGTTGTCGGCGACAATCCGTAAGTTCTTTTCGTAGACTTTCAATATGTACTTCATCTGTGATAATATTAAAATTGTAATAATACAAAATCAATAAAAAGAATTTGATTCATTGGAACATACTTTCTTTAGCTGACCGCAAAGCAGTTTGTAACTCATTATTGACTCCATCCATTTTATCTGTTTTAATTCGAATTTCTGTTTTGACTTCTTCGCTTAAGCGTAGCAGATTGTCTCGCTCTTCTTTAAGAGTGGTGAGATGAATTTCCTGTTTACGTATACATTCTTCTAATTTGATCCTTAAAATAAAGAATGAGATATTAAATAAATTCATATTTAGCTTCGGGATCTTACTTGTTTTCCTCTTCCTTTGTGCGTATACCTACGATCTCATCCTTTAGTTGCGCTATCGCACTCCGTTGTTTTTCATCTCTTGCATTATTCTCACGCTTATTACGATCCAACGCTTCTTGTTCTGATTTCAATTGTTTCGCAGCTGATTCTAACTTATCAGCAATAGATTGCTTATCACGATGGGCTTTAAATTTTTTTTATAAAATAAATAACTTTCAATAATGTGAAGGTGATATTTAGGAAACTTACCCATTAGTAGCGCCTGTTGCTTCTCATTTTCAGCACGTATCATTGCTTCCTCGTGTTGTTGCATTACACTCTCCAAGTGTGCTTGCAAGGCCTCTAAGCGTTCCTGCAATTTTTCAATTTCGTCATCTTTAGCCGTTTGCAGCGCTTGAAGAGCGTGTTGCATGCGTTTCTCCAAAGCACTGCGTAATTGGTTTATCTCGTCAGTATGCTTTTTGATGGTCTCCTCCGCAGCAGTCTTCATATCTGCTATATTTTGCTTATACTCATTTTCAGCCGCTCTAGCTGCATTCGTTAATTGCGTTTTTGTTTCTAGAGCTCTTCGCTGGCATTGTTCTAATTCTTTTTGTAAACGGCTAATATGATTCTTTAGCGATTCCTCGCGCACCAAAGCATCTTGCAGATCTCTTTCTAGTTGATCTCTTTTAACTTCGGTAGCCTCCAAAGTGGTATTCGTATCAAATAGTACAGCATCTAAAGACTCCTTCTCAGAACGTAGCGCGGCCAATAATTCCTGAAATAAAATAAAATATTGAATTTATTATGTAAAATAATTTGATATCATTTTTTTTGTCATACCTGCAGACGATGTGTTTCTTTTTCATGCAAATCTATAACGATTTGCTTTTCTTCTACATCTTTAACTATTTCTTCTAAATTTCGATTCAACCGATTATTGGTTTCTGTCGATTGTTCCAAACGTTGTCGTATTCTCATTAGCTCTTCATTCAATGCTTCCTTCTTGCGACACATGGCAGTTAATTGATTGTGTATATCTCCACGATCGCGGGTTACGCATGCTAAATCTTGTAATATTTTTTCCTTCTCCAATTGTAGACACTTTAATTTTTCGCTGTATGATAGGTTTTCTGTTTCCAAATCAAGGCGGGTTTTCTCAACAGCACAAAGTTCCTTCTTAAGTATGTTTATTTCATCACTTTGTGCACTCACTTCGAGGCGGAGTTTTTTGCGTTCTTCCTGCGTTTCAGTCAAACAATTTTGAATTGTTTTTAACTCATCTGTTGTTGAATTATTGTTACTGGATATTTTTTCATATCGTTCTTGTAAATCGCATTTCTCCAACAGTAGCCTATCGAGATCATACTCCAAATCCGACTTTTGCTTTTCTATTAAACTTATGATATTTTCTGTTTCGATGCGCTGTTGTTCTAACAGATCACGACTTAAATTTACTCGATTAAGTTCTTCTCGAAGTGATATTGTTTCTTCACGTAGACGACTGCTGCGATCCTCCTCCGATCTTAAAATTTGTTTAAAAACACACAAAAATTATGTAAATATTAACAGATATTTCTATTGGGTGCATAGAAAAGAATGTTCCCCAATATGTATATATTCTTCATATATTCTCTTTATATATATATATATATTATATGGTTTATTATGTTAAAGTTTGTCACCAGTAAAATGTAATATTAAAAAAAAAAATATAAAAATATTTTGAGTTCATTATATAAAGATATATAAGAGCGATGAGAGATTGTAAATCTAAAATAATTTATTAGATACCAAATTGTCATAAATAATAAGTATGCTTCGATAGAACCAATAATTATTTTTACGACATATATTTGTATCTCAAATAATATTTAAAACGTATTTTATTTTAATTTACATATTGAATTACAAAATAGAAAATTAGCACAGGCAGGGAGTTTTGGATAGAGATATGTAGCGATATACTTATTTTACTATTTGAATTTTATTTTGAAATGTTGAAATAATAGAAATATGTTTAAATAATATATAATTGAATATACCTTAAATACACTAAAGTATGAATTCGAGAATAAATCATTACTCATAAAATATATAGATTTTTAAATTGGAAATATCAAGATACTTAATTAATATACTTGTAACATACATATATTGGCGAATATGTATTACCACAAAGCAATATGTAAAAGATCTGTAAATACACACAGATCTATAAATACATACAGATCTATAAATACACACAGATCTCTTGTAGGTATAACATTAACGTAGTTGTTTCTAAGTTAGTAACTTTTTTTGAAATAAAGGAACATTCTCTAACGTCTATAATATATAATATAATAAATAAGTGTATTTTAAATAAAGGCTTACCTTAGATTCATTTCAGTTATATTCTTATCTTTCAGTATTCGTTGAATTTCCACCTCAACAGCTTTCTTGTCTTCCTCAAGGGAATCAATTTTCTTTTGTAGTTTTCCATAGTTTAATTGAAGCTTTTCAAAATCAGTGCTTAGATTGTCAAACTATAAAAAGATATGATATATTCAGAACATTATTTATTTAAAAAGAAGATATCCTTACAGCGTTGTTGAGTTCAGCACGGCCCAACTCAGCGTGTTGCTTTTGAGCTCGAATTTCATCCAAAGTTTTTTGCAAGCTGTCGCGCTCCTTAAACAATTCAGAGAGTTTCGAATTGCTGCTATCCAACTTTTCAGTAAGCTGTTGTACTTTTGTAGTTAACAAATTTTTCGTACCTTCGCTTGTACCCAACTGCTCTCTTGTTGATTTCAAGCTTTCGTTCGTGTTTTGGAACTTCACTTGCATGTCATGTAGCGCCAATTGGTATTTGTGTAACGCAGCTTGTACTGCTGAGATAGTACTTTCGGCAAATGCTTGTGATGCACGAGTCGAACTGCGACGAGGTGATTTGGTTGGTGCTGTACCGCCCGCAACTGATGCTGAATCACGCGTTAAATGCATGTGTTGCATTGAACCATTAACCTCGGCGTCTGCTTCGCGATCAGCAATTTCAGCATCTTGCACTACAGCTTGTGCAATTTCACGTATCGATGTGTTTAATCGTTCAATTTCGTCATTATATCTATTAGCGAGTACAGCTTGTGACTCAGCCTGAGCACAACGATCTTCAAGTTTTTTCAATTGATTCATTAATTCAAGCAGCCGTTGATCACGCTCCAATATCTCATGACGTGCACTTTCGTATTGTACCTTAAGCGTTGCGATTTGGGCTTGCAGGTCGTCATTTTCACGTTTAGAGCTCATCAACTGTTCATCCGAAGTCCTTTTAGCTTGTTGTACCATAAATTGTACATTACTGCATGAACTAGATATGTCCTTTGATACGCTATTGACCTCTAAACCCATTTTGGCTACTTCATTTTTCATCGCACTTTGCATATCTTTAAATGCACGCTTAACAGTTACAACCTCTCGCCACATTTTCAGAAGTCGATTATGTTCACTGCTGTAGTAGTCCTTGAAAGCCTATTTGATATCAAAAGTTTCTATATATTATTTACAAAATATGGCTAATGTAATTTTTAGATCTTTTTTATTTTTATTTATATTTCATATCTTTTTGATTCCACATATATAATTAATATATAATTATTAATTATGAAAATTTTTCTGGATAGTATATAGCTATTTATTATTTATTAGATAGCTTATTTATTATATTACTTTTATTATATTACTAACATCACGATATTTACAATGTTTTACTTCTATTATAACTGCTATATTTATATATGTTGTGATGGGACGTTGGGACAGCACACCGTCCAACAAGTGGCCCCACTGAAGTGAAGGATTAACCGAAATAATCGTCCTTCGATTCTCGAATGTCGTTATTGACTTAGTGCTAGAGTGGCATAACTACATCTCTCTAGCATATGTAGATATTATTAATTATTTTTTTACAAAAAACTATTTGATAATAGATTTATGATATTATAAGAATCGTCATATAACAAACATATAGTTGCCAAATTTATACCTAACAATATGCATATGCAAATATGTATGATATGTAATTTAGATTTAGATTTAGATAAATTTAAAAAAAAAAACTTAATAATTGTTTGTGATTGTAATAATTGTTATAGTAAAAAAACTAGCCTGTTCTTCTTCCTTGTATTCATCTTCTTTTATTACTAATTCGTCTCTTAAATTGGACCAATCATTCGTCAGTTTCTGTAGATCTGTAGTGAGTGCTTCATTTGTACGATTTGATTCTTCCAATTGTTGACGGAGTGCATTGTTCTGTGTTAAAAGCTGTTCGCATTTATTATGCTCATCCTCCAGTTTACGACATATATCACCACTATCATCATGTACAATATAATCTCGCGTACATGTGGTGGGTGGAGAATCTAGCGATGATGAACATGGAAGACTTGATTGTCCACCTAAAGTCAATGAAGTTGAACACTTAAAAATAGAGTGATATTAGTAGAAATTGTTTTTAAGAATATTTTTTACATCTTACCAATACTTGACTAGATGTTGGCCCAGTTGTTATTTTTGGTGGGGCACAAGAAGTTGAAATTGGAGTATGCTTAATGGTGTCGTGCATACGATCTTCCAAATCACTGCAACGTTGTCGATATTGCTGTATCTTTGACTGAAGACGACTTACTAAGGTTGCCTGATTTTGTTGTGCCTGTTTATAGGTGTCTATGCGACGTCTATAACTGCATGCTTCTTCAGCTAAACGTTGTCTTAATTCTTGATTCTGCCTAAGTAAAGCTGAAGTTGAAGTTGAAGTTGGTTCTATAGATGGAGCAGGTGACAACATTCTGGGTGTAGTTGCGTTTGCACCGTTAATGCTATTTATGCAATTATCCTGCGTTGCACTGCGACTACGTACGGACTTGGAGAACGGTAAGCGTGAGGATGACGTAGGGTTGGTATGTGCTACCTGTTCTACAGCTGATGGACAGGGAGTTTGCTTAAAGTTGTCCCGATATGCTTGCATCTATTTTAAAATTGTTTTGCACGATATAAGTACTTGACGACTAGTATTAAAAACTGAACTTAAACATTATGATATATTGAAATATTATAAATATCGTGCTCCGAAACATACCTATCTAAAATTGCTGCTATGGTATATATTCTACTATGGTACTATGGTAAATTAATTTAATAATAATTTCTGTTGTCAAGGAACTTTTTTAAACCAATTATGTTTCGTTTATAGAAGCGGTTAGGTAAACCGTACACCCCAATTATTACCTATTTATTAGCAAACAAAATGTATCTAAACATGAAAATAATTCTCTTTCAATATTATGCAAAATAAATACATAAATATTTTTATGCTTCTCTATGATTTTGATGTTTTGTGACACGCATTGCACGGTTTGCCACCATCTTGGAGCTATCCGACGTACAAATATCATAGGTATATATGAAATATTTATTCAAATTAATTTTACGAGTATATAGCTTTATTCTACTTTTGTTTCCCACAGCAACCTGCATATTTTCTAGCTCTTTTGAATTTCAATAATGTAATATTATGTATAAATGAAAGCGTTTAATGCTTTTGGTTATAAAATATATAATTATTTAAATAAGTCAAGTCGTACAGAAATAGTTCATATAATACCAAAGTATTAATATATTTCATTGATTGTATTTATATTTTGATATTTTAGATTTATTCAACAATAATATATGCCGAAAGTATGTTGATATGTTCAGTTTATCTATCAGTGCCTTATGGTCATAAAATATTTAATAGTAGTAGTCAATAAACACAACGATATTAGATAATAAAAGTAAAACTTTAAGTGTCCGATAGTGATAAAATATTTAATATTGGTAATTCCTTAACACATATATTACATATATAGTATAAGTAGAAATAACGTTACTACTGTTTGACATAAGCTCTTCAGCGATAACACTAGATTTTGTTTAAGTATATTATCCTTGGGATGAAATTTTTAATATATATACCTATATATATATATCTATATGTTGTATAAATTATTTGAAAACTTATGCAAGCCAGTAATCTAGTTGAAATAAGTAAAAATATTGAGACAACCAGTTACCTAACAAACTATTCCTTAAAAACTACATAATTATATTAATTAACAATTATTTTTCTTTACAATATGTTAAGTTTTAGTGAAGATGTTTTCTTTAACACCAAAATTTGTAACCACTACCTGACCGTTTACAAATATTAAATTACTGTTTCAAAACGTCTAGACATTATTTACCTTATAACTTATATACAACAATTTACTGGAAAGGTATTTTACTATTCGATTTACAAGCAAAGTAGATTAGCACAAAGTTTAGGTCTCTCTCTTAAGAATAACAGTTATGGTTTGCTTAACACTTATACTTTATTAAAAAAACTTTTGGATGCTTATATGATATCTATATATTGATAAAAAAAAAACACTGAGCTTTAAGCACATAATTTTAAAACTATAATTAATTTAGAGATGCTATAAACTATACCAAATAAAACACATTTTGATTATATATAATTGTATATAATGTACAATTGAAAAAAATGGTCCCAATAATCCTTATAATATTAATTTAATTAATATTAAGAAATCCATTTACTTCATTCTCACATAAGCAATCCATGTTCAACTCAACTCTAATATGGTATATACATTAATATAAACAAAAGTCAGTGCACCAGCTAACAGCATTAAAAATACGAAACAAAAAACAATATGAATAATTTTAAAATAAAGAAAAATATATATAATATTGTTTTTTTTTCATATTAAATATGTTTTTTTTTTCATATTTGATTATATACAAGTGTATATATTGTACAATTAGAAAAAGTAGTCCCAATAATCCCTATAATCTTAATTTAATTAATATTAATTAAGAAATCCATTTACTTCATTCTTACTTCATTCAAATATACCATATATATTAATTTAAACAAAAGTCACAGTACCAGCTAACAGCATTAAAAATACGAAACAAAAACCAGCATGAATAATTAAAAAAAAAAATAAAAATATATTAAATATTATTAATAATCAAAATAAAAAATAACAAACAATTATATGTGCATTGCTTGTTTGTTTTTCATGCTGCAGTTTGCCCCTATACTATATTACTATATAAGCATTTTTAGAATCAGAGCTTATATATATATGGTATGTACATAATTTACTAGTTTTTCACTTCATATTCTATTTGCATTATTTCATTAACTAGTCACAAAGTATCAGTAGCTGTTATCTTCGGAAGTAAAGCCAGACACATTAACAATTAAAGCGCTTTTTATAAACTCTAATTGATCCAAATAAAAACAAGGTATAACCCAGACAGTTAAAAACAATATTCATCGTGCTCAACTTAAACTTTGACCAACTGATTATCAGATTCAAAACGTTTTAACAAAAACAATGAAATTTTAATTTAAAAATACTAAGTTTCAACGTTTGTGGGTGTAGAAATGATTATTTGTTAAATTTTAATTTATTTAGTTTTTATTAATCAACTTACTTTTTGTTTTGTCTAGATATTATATATACTGCAATTGAATATATCGAATGCACTTAAGAGCTAAATTTATAACTTGAACACTCCGTACTTTGTCTGCGAATAAATTCGAATGGATGAATTGAAAATTTGATTTATTTCGAATAAAAAGAATCCGTTGATTTTTTTAAAGAGTTGTTAATGTTGGCATAGAAATCCAATAAAGAATTAGAATTCATTAAGTTTTGCCTAAATTGTAATAATGCACGAATTCCTGTCAAATTGAAATCCTTCCTTCAGAACCTCACACACTTGGCTGTAAGCGAGCCAACTTGATGTGAACCTTTGTCAACGAACTCTCGAACAAAACTCTTCCGTCATGACATATAAAGAAACTTTTTCAACTTTTATATATGTACGTAAAAGGAAGTAACAGAGTAACAAATAGAGTTATTCAAATTACAATGGTAACATAATTTTGTAAGCATAGATAACTCGCAGGATAGGGCCACACTAAGCATTGAATTAACAAATTTCTGGTATCCAAGGACACCGCAATTGATTTCGGTTCGGTTGATTTTGTTCACATCTAAGGCAATGTTTATGCTCCAAAATCATAAATAAATGGGCGCATAAGCAACAAATGTGTGCGGAAATACTTTTGCCAACTTTTTTGATTTATGTTAACTGTTATTTTTTTCTAATACATCCGTTTATAAATTTTTGGAAATGAAAAAAAGTTTTTGTTTAGACATGCTACACCCCAAAGTTTAGTGCCAGTGGCAGGCATAAAAATTTTATAAATTTTATAATTTAAGGGCTATTGCATGCAGTAAGCTTTTATTCCAACATATAATTTTCTTGATCCTACCATCGACTAAGTTAAGTTACTATGGCTGACCGTATGCCATGCTTAGATCTATTTCTCAGTAGCGTCACCTGATAGAATGAATCTCTATTGAACGATTTTTTAAAGTATGATTTTAGACTAAGCCTTAGTAAGTTCTAGAGTAGTTCTAGTGCACACTGTCGCATTTATTAACAATAAGCTTATTTTCAAGTAATTTACAATTTAAATTTTCAATACTACAAATTTTTTTTTGATAAGACTTATAACCACTAATAAAAGGTAACATTTAATTAAACTACAATCTATACATCATTCAAAAAGCGCTTACTATCGCTGTGTAAAGCTCTTTCGATCACGCAGAGTGTATAAATTCGCCAATAGTTCGACGTCCTGTCCAAGTGTGGAAATTCCTTAACCATGAGAGTTGTTTCCGCCCAACACCTCTGCAATCTTATCTACGGCCTTGAAGTAAAAGTTGCAAGACTTCGTATTTGGGTGCACGTATTATGTGTCCCATTCATGCTATTTTTTTTTTCATAGTTTCTAGCTGTCCTCTTTCTTGCTGCATTCTTCTGAGCACTTCTTATTTGGTAACTCTATCTGTCCAAGGTATTTTCAATAGACAACGATAACACAACATTTGTTTTATGTGCTTTACCTATATTCAATACAAACATTATTGCTGTAAAAGTTTTTTAATTTAAAAAGAGACAAAAATATACTGCTATCTTTGTAATACACTACTCCTAGAAAAAGTTACCTAACCTAATCTGGACAAATCAAGATTTCTGATAAATCTAAAAAATGATAAACCGTAATATTTTATTCACTTCACTTTTTCGTTATCTCAACTTTCTCTTTTGTTTAAAATTTATATTCCGTATAGTTGCTTTTGAAATGTCCCCTAATTTCAGCCTTCGTTTCAACGAAATTAAGGACATTTTCCTTAATTTCGTCCTAACCTCAAAACTTAATTTTGTATGAAAAAAACAACTTCATTTCATTGAAATGAAGATGAATTCAAGATTTTTGTGAATTAAAGGTATATCTGAACATAGTATAATATATAAATTAATTAATTTTTTTTTGTTTTGAATAAAATAAGTACCCTGGTAGATATTATGCCAATCTGGTAATTATACAACTGTGCTGTTGCTGCACAGGTTGAAATGTTATTGCGACTGTAATTTGATTACTTATTTATAATTAAAAAAAACTGCATTTAGTACAAGGTTATCAAATGTCTTAAAATAATGCTTATGCACACCATACAAATGTATAGAAAGTTGTATCTCTGTCTATATGGAAAGGTAATTTTTATATAGTATGTATATTTTCGCTTTTTCTTATCTCTCCAAAAAAAAAATTAATTGTTAAATTATAAAAATTTTATTAATATAAATGAATAGAATCATCACATTGGAGAATTCTAAATTTGTAACCTCGGCAACCTTGACGTTTTGTTATACATATGTACCTCATGTTAAGTCTAAAATTTTGTAATCGAACTAATGAATTTTGGGTTTATTATGTCGTTTTGTGTACAAATAAACATATTAAGAATAATAAAAGATGAAGCTTTAAATAGAACTATTTTTATATTTGTTTTCGTGAGATTGGTGGATAGAAACAACAGCCAGGGTATAAAT